TGACAGCGTTTTTTCAGCACTGCTGTGAAGTGAAAAATACCAGAAAGAATATGATTATTTTTAAGAACTATGTTATTAATTATTATTATTATTATTATTAATTAGGTGCCGTTCAAATAGTCAATCGTAAATGCCATTGCACAACTTACAATGGAGTTTAAACATCTTTTGGATGATCTGAAATGTACCAGACCAGTTGTTAGCGGTACACACTGTACATGCTATGAGATCCTGTATAGGCTTTCATGGTGTCTGCGCATGCATCTCATAAATAATAATATGATAAATAATCATCGGTAAATATATTTTTACCTGTATTTCCTGCCTGAATGTTTCTGTGACGCAGCATATCTTAAGATATCTGCTGAGTTCTTATGGAATCTTTTGAAACTTCATGATAAGAGTCCTTATGTTCAGGCATCTTATAATGCATATAATGTATCTTCTGAAAAAGTCATTGAATGAAGTATCGAGAGTGTTTATGTTCACACTCAAGTCAAGGTATTTCAAGTTCTGTTTAGCAACTCAGGGTGGTTTTATTAATCAATTAATTTCTAATTTTTAACGTATAAATTTAGCATTATTCGTTTATTATACATATATTTTAATGAAGTACAGTTATATATTTTAAAATTACATTAAACAAGTTATTTCAAATTTTGTTTAACAGCTCAGGTAGTTGTTATTGACCAATTAGTTTTTAATTTTTAACATGTAAATTTATCATTAATCGTTCAAAATCCATAGATTTTAATGAAGTACTGTTATATATGCTAAAATTACATTAAACAAGATACTTCAAGTTATGTATAGGAACACAGGCATGTTTTATTGAACAATTAATTTTTAACATATACATTTATCATTATTTGTGTAAAATCCATGTACTTTAATGAATACTGTTTTATGTTAAAATTACATTAATACAATATACTTCAAGTGCTATTTAGCAACTCAGGCAGGTATTATTAATCAATTAACTTTTAATTTTTATCATATAAATTTAACATTAATCGTCTAAAATCCATATATTTTAATGAAATACGTTATATATGTTAAAATTATATTAATATGCATGCTAATGAAGTCTATTTTAAATCAATTCTCTGTAATGTACAGGTAAGCTCCCTAATAAAAAAAAATTGTTAATTTGATAAAACATTTTTTATGTATTTCTTTCATATTTTTGGAAGAATATTTTCTACATTGTAATTACAACAACTATTTTTTAATCAAGGAGAAGGCATTAATTAAATTATTCAGATTTTTATAGTACAATATTTTTTTTAAAATCCGAAACATAATGCTGTTAACGAAAACGTACATACCTGCAAATATAGATAAAATTATCGCTAAAGGGTATATCTAGGCACTCGCTATTTAAATGCTTTATCCAGAAATGTTAAAAAGCAAAAATTAGTAATTTTCTTTTAATTATGTTAAGGAAAACGTTCACGTGAACTTATCGAATTCTCGAAGAAGGTTTTTTTTTTTTTTTTTTTTTAATTTTATTTTATTTTTTTATTATTTTTTTACAGTGTATTTTTTCTGAGCTCTGTAAGAAAAAAATAATAATAAAAATGGTAAGCTCTTGATGGAAAATTTAGTATTCTCATTTCTTAGTTTCCTGTATGAACAAGAGAAGAAAAAAAATATAAAGATTGTGGTTTTTTTTAGATATTTTTGCTTGTGACAGCATTTTTTTTTTTTTTTTTTTTTTATTGACGTATAAAAGATTGAAAAAAATATTTCCTTTGATATTATAAAAAAAAAAAGCACTTTTGAAGATAAAAATAATAATAACCGCACGGTAACCACGAACATAGGCATTAATGTCTAATCTATGCAAGTTATAATCGCATTATTTCAAATTAATTGATATTTCAATTAATTATAATTGGGAAAGAATTGCTTAATAATAATTTAGTTATTTCTTTATGAAAAAAAAATTCTTCATGTGACATTTTATCAATAATTTCTTACTGTTTAATGATATTTTTTTTACATAAAGTATCTATTATTAGTATCTTAAATGTAGTTTCTATATATTACAAAAAGTCTATATTTGCACCAGCTTTTTTAAAGTTAAAATAAACATAAATTTTTTTTTTATCCTTTGTGTAAAACAACTGTTTATATAAAATATTTATCCTAATATTTTAAATATTCCCTAATTACAGTTTAATAAATAAACAATTAGCAATATAAAAATGAATTGAAATGTAATAAATGTTCTCTAAGCTATTTTATTAATGGAAAAAAATTAACTTCAGTGAACAAATAAATTGATTCATTTTTTATAATACCAAATTTTCTGTGAAAATAAGGAAATATGTATTTAAATCTTTATAAAATAACAAAGTAGTCAATTCTCATAAAAATTTATTTTTGCAACTTAGGTTATAAATAATATAAAAAAGTAGATTGATATCAAAAATGTTAGTACTGTTATATATGTTAAATTACATTATTATGTATGCTAATAAAACCTGTTTAAATCAATTAAATACAATGTACAGGTAACATCCATAATAAAAAAAAAATTGATAATTTGATAATATATTTTTTTATGTCTTTCTTTCATATCTTTGGAAGAATATTTTCTACATTGTAATAATAGCTGTTTTTTATTCAAGAAGGCATTAATTAAATTATTAAGATTTTTATAGTACAATACTTTTTTTTAAAATCGAAACATAATGATGTTACCGAAAACGTACATACTTGCAGATATAGATAAAATTATCGCTAAAGGGTATATCTAGGCTCTTGCTGTTTAAATGTTTTATCCAGAAATGTTAAAAATCAAAAATTAGTAATTTTCTTTTAATTATGTTAAGGAAAACGTCCATGTAAACTTATCGAATTCTCGAAGAAGATTTTTACCATTTTTTAGAGTGTATTTTTTCTGTGCTCTTTAAGGAAAAAATAATAATAAAAATGGTAATTTCTTGATGGAAAATTTAGTATTTTCATTTCTTAGTTTACTGTATGAACAAGAGAAAAAAAAGATGAAGATTTTGTTATTTTTTTTTAGATACTTTTGCTTGTGACAGCATTTTTTTTTTTTTTTTATTTTTTATTGACGAATGAAAGATAAAAAAATATTTGCTTTCACATTATAGGAAAAATAATTTTTTCTTTGAAGATTAAAAAAATAAATAAATAACCGCACTGTAACCACAACCATAGGCATTAATGTCTAATCTATGCAAGATATAATACAATTATTTCAATTAATTGATATTTCAATTAATTATAATCGAGAAAGAATTATGTAATAATAGTTTAGTTATTTCTTTACGAAAAAAAAAAAATGTTGCTTAACATTTTATCAATAATTTTTTATTGTTTAATGATATTTTTCACGTAAATAAAGAATCTATTATTATCATCTTAAAAGTAGTTTCTATGTATGAAAAAAAAATCTATATTTGTACTCGTTTTTTTTAAGTTATTCTTTTTTAACCTTTTGTATAAAATAACTGTTTATATAAAACATGCATCCTAATATTTTAAATATTCCCTAATTACTTTTTAATAAATAAACAATTAGCAGTATAAAAATTGATTGGACTTATTAAATTGATGCTTATTTCAAAAATTTCATATATTTATGTTTTAACATAGTTCAAAATGCACTAATATAAATTTAAAAAGCAATTAACATTATTTGATATATGAATAGTTTTACATGAAAAAAATTACAATATTTTTGAAATTATTAAGAAACACATTTGAAAAATTCGATTTTGCAATTAAAATATAAAAAATAGAATAATTAATTAAAATATTTCAATAATTAAATAATTTTTTTTGTAGAGAATATTTAATTCTCAAAACTAATTAAAAATAATTAAACCACTGTAATTCAAAGTATTTTTCGTCCTTTTTTAAATACAGTATAAAGAGGAAATTGCTTTTACAATAATAAAAAAATAATAAAAAAATAGTTTTCTACATTTTCTTCTATATTTCATTAAATCATTCATTAATTAAACTATTAATTTCTAATTTTATTTTATACCTCAAAATGTTATGACTTTTTTTTTTATTTACTTAACTTAATGTAAATATTTTTAAATGAAATAATAAATATTAAATATATATATTATTTGCAATTTTTTATATTCAATAATAATTATATCTATAATATTTATAAACCAATAAAACATTATCTCTCATTTTAAAATATACAATACAAGAGAAATTATTTCAATGGTTGTTTAAAATCGAATAAATAATTTTTATATATTCCCTTATAGTTAACTATATAGTTATAGAAACTAAATCATATCATGATTTGAAAAGAATTTCAAGTTAGTTAATCCATCAAATTAAACTTCAAACAATCAATAGTTAAATATTTTAAAATAGTCTCCCTCAAATACAGGCAGCTACACTTGGAGAAAAGCCAGAGATCTAAAAGAATTCGAACAAAGTTTAACGACTGTCCCTGTGTTTCCTGTTATTTTTTCAAGGAACTTCGACGTCTCTAAACAAGAACAAACGATTAATTTTCATTACACCAAAACTTTCCTGACATTAAAACATGTAAACTTAAAAAAAAAAAAGAAATATTATGACTATATATCTCCTGAATCATTAATTTCAAACGATTTTTTGTTCGAATTTTTGTCAACATCGTATAAATCATTACACGCAGCATTATTTATGTTTATATTTTAGAATATATTTGTTTCAAATTTTTAATATAATAAGAAAAAAACAAATTTTAATTTTTTTTAAAAAAAAAACATCTTATATAACATAATTTTAATTTTTCGTTTAAAAAAATGTTTATGTATTACTTTTAAGAAGAAAAATTAAAATTATGTTGTTGTTTTTATACATAAACATTTTTTTAAACGAAAATAGTTAATATATATATATATATATATTATGACTGTATATTCAGTGAATCATTAAATTCAAGGGATTTTTAAGGAAATTTTTGTTAACTTTGTATAACTCACCACATACATTATGTGTATATAGCCAACGGCCGTACCATGCTGAATATACCGGTTCTCGTTAGATCACCGAAGTTAAGCATCATTGGGCGCGGTCAGTACTTGGGTGGGTGAGACCACCTGGGAACACTGCGTGCCGTTGGCAAATTTGGGACCTGAATGGCCGAGTGTCTAGCGCTCTGGCGCTCGGTGCCACAGGTTTTTCGGGTTCGAATCCCGACGGTGCCATGGATGTTTGTAGTGGTTCGGAATCCACTTTAAGCCGTAGGTCCCGGTCTCCTATGACTGTAAGAGCGTCACGGAGCAAAACTCAGGCTTCTACCTACGGGTGCTCCATCACAACAGAAGCTGCTTCCTTCCCCTTCAATCAGGTCCATATGGGCTCGTGGGCTTGGCCAGCCAAGTGGGATAAGAAACAACAACAACAACAATGTATATATATTTTAGAATATATTTGTTTTAGCTTTTTAGTATAATAAGAAAAAAAAACATAATTTTAATTTTTCTTCTTAAAAGTAATACATTTTTTTTAAAGCGAAAATAGTTATATATATATATATATATATATATATATTATGACTGTATATTTAATGAATCATTAAATTCAAGCGATTTTTATTGAAATGTTTGTTAACATTGTACATACATTAGTATGTGTATACATTTTAGAATATATTTCTTTGACATTTTTAGTATATTTGCCAGCTGCATTAGAAAATAAAAATATTTAGTATAGTAAGAAAAAAAAATAATTTAAATTTTTCTTCCTAAAGGCCATGCATAATATATATATATTTTTTAACGAAGTTTAAAAATATATATCGTGAATCATTAATTGTAAAAGATTTTTAATGCAATTTTTTGTTAATATCGTATAAAACATTACAAGCATTATTATTTATATTTATATTTATATTTTAGAATATTTTTTTTTTGAAAATTTTAGTGTAGTAAGGAAAAATAAAACAGAGTTTAATTTTTTTTTTTTTTTTTTAAAAATAATAACCACATAATTTAAATTTTCCTTCGTAAATATTTTTTAAATGAAAATAATTAAAAAATATATATTATGACTATATATTTCATGAATCATTAATTTTAAACGTTTTTATTGAAATTTTTATTAGCATTGTATAAATCATTATAGGCAGCATAGCTTATATTTATATTTTAAGATATATTTATTTGAAGTTTTTAGTAAGAAAGAAAACAATGTTTTAAAAATTTTTAAACATTCTTTAAACATCTTCATAAACAATTTTTTAAAAATGAAAATAGTTTTGAAAAACTAATATGACTATATATCTCATGAATCATTAATTTTAAACGATTTTTATTGGAGTTTTTGTTAACATCGTATAAATCCTTACATGCAGTAGAATTTATATTTATATTTTAGAATATAGTTTGAAACGTTTAGTAGAGTAAGGAAAAAGAAAGCATAATATTTCTCCTTTTAAGGTACTACATGTACAACATATTTTTAAAAATGAAAGTAGTTAAATATATATATATTATGACTATATATCTCGTGAATCATTAATTTTAAACGACTTTAATTGGAATAATTAATTGAAATTTTTGTTAACAGCTCGTACATCATTGCAAGTATTATTATTATTCATATTCATATTTTGTAATATAGTTTTGAAATTTTTCGTATAGTAAGAAAAACAACATTTTTAAAAAAGAAAATAGTTCATAATCGTTCATTTAATTAATTTACTAATTTTTTTAATAATTGTCGTAACTATAATTACTAATTTAAAAAAATATTTTGATACATAATTAAAATGAATTTTAAAAAATATATTACTTAAGATATAGTTTAAGATTTAACGAAACATGTAAAAAATAAATTAAGATAAAATATTTTTAAAAGTAAATATTTAATACAGCGATATTTATCAAAATCTTATTATCAAATAATTATGGGCAATGATTTCTTATGTGTATAATTTTAAGAGAAATCCCCGTAGACATTCAAGTAATTAAAAGTGTGCATTCTTTTCAAAACAATTAATTAGGCTTGTAAATATCTTCATTAATTTAATTATATCTGTCCTACAAATTCCAAAATAAGGATTCAACAACTAATTAGCTTAATAAAAGCTTTAGTATACAAAATCTAAAGTGAATGGATTAAACATGCTTTGAACATTTTATTTCCACATAGGATATTTAATTAAACATTCATCAAGAAATAGTTAATTAATTAAATTTAAAACTAATTTTTAAATGCACATTTATTGCAAACCTTTCTTCATTTATTTAAAAAGTACTATAGTAAGGACGTGTTTATATTATACTGTTAATTAATTATATTTGAAAAAATATATATATACAAATTAAAATTAAAGAAATTATTAATTAACAACTGAAAATAAAATTAAATAATATATATTAATTAATTATTTTTAATTTTGAATTATATATATATATAGGATATATATAATATATGTATATATATATATATAGGTGATTATAGTAAAAATATTTAAATTATATTAATTAGAGGATAATATTATACCATTGTAATCAATTATTTCGAATGTCTGACTCGTATAGGTTTCAATCCTCTGGACTTGAATTGCTGTCATTATTTTCCGAAATGTGGATTTACTCAACTACTCACCTTGATAAGAATTTCTTATCAATAGTCAGTTCACCTGGATGGAATTATCAAGGTACAATCCTGCTTTCTCCTACACACTGTCAAGAGCCACCATTTTGACGTTGAGGAGTAATGGTCAGTTGACCTACAGACTCTCATCTGGAGAGACAGTATATTTCGCGCATCTTGCGCGTATCCGAATTTCGGGATTTCGGCTTAGAAGTGGAATCCTTAGATGAATATATAATTTTGTCTTTAAATGTGTCAAATGGTGTATGTCTCTAACTGTATATTTGTGATATTTGTGCATGTGTCAATAAAGATGTGAGTTCTCTAATATGTGCCTGAAGTATCTCAATCCAACCAAAGCCAGTTACAATCTGGTTGCCCAACCTGCACACTACAAAAGTATTATTCAAACTTTTTATCAATGTGTTCAATTTAGAAGAGAAAAATTATTTCGCATTTATCATTTATTGTTATAATTTAAAAGATAAATTTTAAGTATCTTTTCCTAGTTTTTGCTCTAAATAATTTTAGAACAAAAATTAGGAAAATAACAAATTGTTGAAAAAAACAAATTGAACAAAAAATTATGATTATTGAACAAAAAATATATTGCTTTCCTGATTCTCATCCAATCATTAATCTGCAAATGATTGTGTGGAGCATGGTTCCATTCGCAGAGCCATGATTCTTGAGTACATCGACATGTATATCAACACAATGTATTTCAAAAATCGAGACACCAGAGTGCATCAGGCATCACAAATAATGTTTAATCTTTTTAATTAAAAAATAAACTGTAAGAATGTTTTCAAAATTTTTGTTCTAAATGTTACATATATATATATATATATATATATATATATTTGTTTTAAAATATTTACAAATATAGTGCTTTCCTGATTGAAATTTAACCATTAATCTTCAAATGACTGAATAGAGTATGGTTTTATTCTCCGAATAATATCATAAATGATGTCAACTACTCATATCTAAAACATTGCTGTTTCTCAATTAAACTAAGCAGGTAATTAATTTTAATCATATGATCAATTTAAAGATTCAGTATGGAAAGTTTTAAAGATATGACTTAGAAAACACAATAAAGGCTTCTGGAAAATGAATTATTATGTTGTCTAAACATCCATCCATCCCTGTTATCCAGACTTCTATTTTTCTTTTAGATTTCTGTTTTTTCTTATTCAACAAGGTGTACTTCCATGCCAACCGGGTGCACAGAAAAATAAGAAAAATTTTCTATCCTTGCCCTCTAATGAAATATGCGACTGGACTAGGGCACCCGAGAGACCATTCCTCAACCTCGAAACAGTTAAAAACCGACCAGCGAATACCTCGAGACATTTCCTCTGGAAACTGGAAGAGGAAATGAAGGCTTCCGGTTTCATTTCAGGATTGGAGCTTTGAATAGCTTTCCGTTTTACTTTTGTGACTCCCACAAGACTACTTGTGTTGGAATCACACAATATTAAAAGGGCGAGAACATTCCAAGGGTTCTCGAAATGAGCCAATAGGAGCTGGCGACGTGATGTATTGTTCCAGACGGTGCCTGTTCCATGTGTTGCCGAACTGCTGTTTGGATTGTGATGGTTTATTCATGGTTTTAATACATGTCTACTTTTATGTATGGTGTAAGAGGTCAAGTCTTTAAGACATAGATGTGATTTCTTTTAATTCGATAATCAAATATTTAATTAATCAAAGTTCCTAAAAGGATTTGAGTGTAATGAATTGAAAGAATTGTAATTTATTGAATTAATTACAATCAGTAAAATATGTATAATTTAAATAATAAGTATAAATTGTAAAATAAATAGGTTGTTTTGCAAAATAACAATTATAAATTGTAAAATAAATAAGTTGTTTTGTAAAATAACAATAAGTATAAATTTTCAATATAATTTAATCAGTTAATATATTTTTAAATATAGGTTAATAAAGAAAACTTTGAAATTTTAAATGTAATTTTTTTTTATCTTGATTTAAAGTTTATTTTAATTTATTTCAACTTCATGGTAAATAAAGTAAGTATTAAACTTTTAATTAATCGTATTCAATTTAACGTTTCGGTATTGGGAAGTATAAAACAACTAGTATTAAACTTTAAATTAATCATATTTAATTTAAGGTTTTGGTACTGGGAAGCCTAAAACAACTGCTGCTAAACTTTAAACTAATCATATTTAATTTAAAGTTTCTGTAATGGAAAGTCTTAAAGATATGATTTAGAAAACACAACATAGGCTTCTTGTATTATGTTGTCCAAACTTTCATCCATCCCTGATATCCAGACTTCTAATTTTCTTTTATGTTTCTATTTTTTCTTATTCAACAAGTTGTCCTTCCATGCTGCCACAAAATATAAAGAAAACTCTCCTATCCTTGCTGTCTAATGAAATATGCGACTGAACTAGGGCACCCGAGAGACCATTTCTCAACCTCGAAACAGTTAAAAACCGACCAGTGAATACCTCCAGACATTTCCTCTGGAAACTGGAAGAGG